TCAAGATTCATCAAATGTTGTAGCACACTTAAGATTTCATTCTTTAAGGCTGCATATTCCCTGTGCACAGTTTGTTATCCATTTCATAATTTTTTCCCCCTTGTTAATCGTGAAGAATCTGAGAGAGATAACCCAATCCATATATAAAGCAGGTTTATCGTCAAGAATAGGACGTCAAGGAAAGAGAGGGTAGGAGGATTGTTTTTTAAATATTGTTACAATTATTATTAATATATTATATACTTTTTTTTTTTGAGACAGAGTTCTCGCTTCGTTGCCCAGGCTAGAGTGAGTGCCGTGCGTCAGGCCTAGTCTCAACAGCAACCTCAAACTCCTGGCTCAAGCAATCCTCCTGCCTCAGCCTCCCAAGTAGCTGGGACTACAGGCATTTCGCACCATGCCGGCAATTTTGTATATATATTAGTTGTGCCTATATTAATTTTCTTTCTATTATAGTAGAGACGGGGTCTCCTCTGCCGGCTTGGGTTCGATCCTTGACCTCGAGCAAATCGCCCGCTCGGCCTCCAGAGGCTTAGGTTACAGGCGTGAGGCACGCGCCCGGCAATATATGGGTGTGTTTTGTTTTAGAGACAAGTTTCACTCTGGCTTCCCAGCTGGGGTAGGGTACGTCATTAGTCCCCGCAGGCTCGAACTCCTGGGCTGCAATGTCCTCCTGCCTCAGCTCCGAGCCAGGCTGGATACATGGTATGTACCACAGGCCCGGCAATTTTTCTTATATATTAGTATCTGCGCATTAATTCTCTGATTTTTAGTAGAGACGGGTCTCGCTTCAGGTGGTTTGAACTCCTGACTTCGAGCATCCGCCCGCTCGGGCCTCCCGAGTGCGTAGGATACAGCGTTAGCCACCGCCCGGCCGAAATGGGTAATTTGTAAAGAAAAGGAATTTTTTCTTATTAGTTCTAGGAGGGCTGAGGAGTCCAAAGTCGAGGGGCCGCATCTGGGGGGCCTTCTTGCTGGTGGGACTCTCTGCAGAGTCCCGAGGTGGCGCAGGGTGTCCCAGGGTGAGGGGCTGAGTGTGCTCAACTCATGTCTCTCTTCCTTTTCTCATAAAGCCCCAGTCCTATTTCCTGATAACCATTAATCCATTAATCTATTAAGCATTAATCCATGAACAGCCCCACCTCTCCATACTGCTAAATTGGGGATTAAATTTCACCGTGAGTTTTGGAGGGGAC